GCCGCGTCAGCAGGTAAATAAAACTGGCAAGGCCCGCCAGGGTGCTTACCCTGGCGAGCCGCGTGCCGAACGTTGCCGACCCCTGGTGTACACAAATGTAGCCAGATGTGTAAGTGTTAATTTTGGATAGGTACAAATGGGTCTTGGCTCTTGGTAAATGTGGCTCTTATTTTCCTGGTGAGTCAGATGCTAAAAGGAACCAGTAAACGGGTGAAGATAAAATTACGGGCCAGATTTTCACAATCTGAATGTACAAAATGTGCTCCAAACTTGTGTTCAGAGTTATCATGATGACACGTGGAAGTCAGCTAACTGCATGCACAAACTGCATGCACAATTCAGATGCAGCAGTGTGTACAGCCAGTCACATTGCATCCTTCAAATGAAAATCTGGCACCGGATTTTACAAAAATTCTGTCAATGTGTTTGTGCAATTGGCTGTGCAATCTGAACCCCTGATAGTAAGGCTGGACAAAGCACTGCAAACAGCCTCGCACTAGCTGGTGGCTGGACATAGGCCAGGAAATGTTTAAATACAGCAATGATGATCGTGTATGAATAATTCCTGACTGATAGACTGACAGATCTTGTCTGTCTCCAAACTCTGTACATCTTTGCCTAATCCCACAGCCCACCCTGTAGGATCAGGCCTTTTAAGATTCTCAGCACCTCTGGCAGTGCCATTTCCACATCCGCCTTTGGTTTGACAGCTTCCAAAGCTTGGCTCCGGCGTTTGTTTTTAAGAGGAACTCCTTTATTGTTTGATCAAGTTTTCATTAGCTACCTCTGTAGGTATTTCAGGAAGGCCGGGGGTGAGGTGAGAGGTGGCTGTTGCTTGTTATACAAGCCTCCTTTTAAGCTCAGGTGACAGCTGTCTATACATTTTTCAATCGGTCAACGCCGGCCTTTCTTTTTTGACTGCACAAAGAGGGCCACTAGCAAGCCATTTATGATGGAGCAGTATTTATGGCTTGACAGGCCTGCTGCTATATACCTCCCCTTATCGACAACAATTGTCTGCTTACTCACCTGTAGGAAATACCGGTACAACACATTCCATTGTTAGCAAGGTGAGACCTCTACGGCCATGCTTAAAGATCAACAGCGGTTGTGTGAAAGCTTTCTCCAAATGTCAATAACGCTTTGTGGAGTATTTTGCCTAGTCTGTCAATCAGCGGTTCTTAGTATTGGCTAAACAAACACTACAGTTTACACCTATTAGCTTAGGTGTTAAGACGTGCTCTCTCAGCCACTCCTATCCCAAGCTGGCTTGGCTAACCATTAGCAAGGGCTTCCCTGTTTGGAGATACACTAGTTACCAATGTACAGTGTAGCGTGTCTTATCATAAGGAACCAACTGTATCACCTTGGGCAAACATTTGTGCAGTGTGAAATTCACTTAGTGGGAAGCAAACACGCCCATGGTGGGTCAAGGAATAGGGCTGAATGCCCCTCATGTATTTCTCTTAAAATGCTAATTAATCAAGTGTAGGTCATTGGAATAGTTGTATAGGGGCCTGATCCAAATCTCATTGAAGTTAAAGCATAAAACAAAGGCACAGGATGGAGAATATTATAATGCCATTCTATAAATCAGCAGAACACCTGCATCTGGATACTGCGCGCAGTACAGACGGGGGTTCAGAGAAGGGCAATGAGAATGATCAGAGGCCAGGAAAAATGCCTCTGAAGTAAGACTGAAAAGGTTGGGATTGTTATCTTAGGGAGATGAGTAAGAGGTGACATGATAAAAGTATATACAATAATGAATGGTCTAGGGGGCAAGGGGCTGGGGTGGGGGGCAGATGTTGGTTGTTAAACAAGCCCCCTTTCAAGCTTAGGTGACAGCCCAAGAAGGGAGACCAAGAGCTTCTGTTCTCCCTGTCTCATCACACAAGAACAAGGGGACAGTCAATGAAATTGAAAGGTAGCAAAGTCAAAACTGATCAATAACTTGATTGATAACTAGATTGTGGAACTCATTGCCATAGAATGTCTTTGAGGACAACCTCTCATAGGAGTCAAAGAGGGACTGGCTGTTTATATGGACAAGAAGAATACCCAGAGTTATAATGGTTAATGCAAAGAGCGAGTTTTGGAAAGGATAAAAATGTGTTTCAGGGGCTAAGCCAATCTGTAACTACTAGGGATCAGGAGGAGACCTTCATGGGTGCTGATTATACCACATCTGGCTATTGTGGGGTTTTTGCACATTTCTCTGAAACATCTGGTGCTGGCTACAGTTGGACACAGGATATTGGACTAGATGGACCTCAGCTCTGATCCAGTTTGGCTATCCCTATGGAGCAGGCCCATACTGGCTAGTTGTAGCTAAACAACAGGAGACTTCTGACAGTCTGGCTCCATTGTATTTACTGACACTCAGCATTTGCAAACAATATCTCCCCCCACTAACATCTCCATCACTCACAGTTCCAGACCTCCAGAGACTGGAGAGGTCTGTGCCACAAGTTTGTTTGCTGCTCATGACATTCAAGAATTTGCCAAGGGAAAAATCATACAGAAAAGGAAGAAAAATAAAATGTTTCCATTCCCAGATGCCCATTTTCTCCCTTGCACTATCACCAGTTACGTGTTTAAAAAAAAAAAAATTTTACCCCATGCCCATTTACTGCTTGTAAAACCCTGTCCATACTCTTATTCCCCACCCATCACCATGGTATCTGCTGTGGGAGGTCCTCTCTGTATCCACACCACCAGGCAGCAGCAGTGCAAGATTTAACTCACTACACCTCTGCCCTGGCTTGGAAGGACCTCCTCTAGAGTGCAGAACTGCAGGAGCCGGGCAGGACTCCAACTCTTGTAAGCTTGGCAGGACTCCAACTCTTCACAGACTGTGACCTTCCAGTTCCTCCAAGCTCGATTACTTAAGCCCTCTCCTCTCACCACACCAGTATCCAAAACAGGGTCATGACCCTTACTAATTTTGAGGGACATGGCTGCGATTCAGGTAGCCTGGGGATTCATATCAGTTAGCTTCAGACAATGCAAGCTGGGCTCTATCAGAAGGTTCTTTATGAGCAGGCCCTCTTTCTGCATACCTTTTGTCCCTGGATCCTGCCCTCTTTTCCTTTTCTTTTGCAAGACCTCACTCTTGTCCTCTGTGCACAAATGTTTTCCTTCTGCGTGTTCTTCTTGATGGGTTTCATGTTCATAAGTGGCAGCCACCTAGACAAATCAGAAAACCGGTCAGTGTTTGGCCCGCCGGACTTCTGATGACCCATCCTGTTGCTGGATTCATTACTATCCCTTACAGCACAGTGCTAATTTGCAATTGTTTGTGAATGTGATGCTCACAAGGACTTTGCCCTTCTCTAGTGTCTGTCACCCAAGGAGCTCAAAGCACTTTGCAAATATTAAACCCAAGATTTCCAAACTGGATGATCAGTATGATGTGCCAGAAAGGGGCCTGACTTTCAGCAAGTACTAGCACTCACCCTTTAAAAACAGCCCCCTTTAACGTTTGCCAAGGTGGGCCCTCCCTGTAGGGTTGCCAACTTTCTAATTACACAAAACCAAACCCTTTAGCCCCACCCCTTCCCCGAGGCCCTGCCCCCTGCTCACTACATTCCCCCTCCCTCGGTGGCTCACTCTTCCCCACCCTTACTCACTTTCACTGGGCTGGGGCAGGGGGTTGGGGTGTGGGAGGGGATGAGGGCTCTGGCTGGAGGTGCGGGCTCTGGGGTGGGGAAGGGGATGAGGGGCTTGGAGTGCAGGAGGGGGCTCAAGACTGGGGGGTGGTGCACAGGGGTTCAGGGTATGGGAGGGGGCTCTGGGCTGGGACAGGGGGTTAGGGTGCAGGGGGTGAGGGCTCTGTCTAGGGGTGCAGGCTCTGGGATGGGTCTGAGGATGAGGGGCTTGGGGTGCAGGAAGGGGCTCTGGGTTTTGGGGGGGCTCACAGCTGGGGCAGGGGGTTGGGGCACAGGCTTACCTCTGGTGGCTCCCGGTCAGCGGCGCAGCGGGGAGCTAAGGCAGGCTTCCTGCTTATCCTGACTCTGCACTGCGCCCCAGAAGCAACCAGCAGCAGGTCTGGCTCCTAAGCGGAGGCACGGCAGGTGGCTCTGCGCGCTGCTTTCGCCCGCAGGCACCACCCCCGCAGCTCCCATTGGCCGTGGTTTCTGGCCAATGGGAGTGTGGCAGGATTCGGGGGTCCGGCTAAAGAGACCCACCTCTCTGCCAGGGAAACACCAGGGTGTTGTAATGTGATATTCCAGGAAAAGTAAAGCATCTTCCTCTTATCTTTGGATGTGCTGTATTTCTTCATGAGGTCAATATGTTACCAGTGTTACCAAACTAGGCTAAAGGCAAGGGATACCCCGATGGTGTGAGAAAGCCTTTTGTCTCTATAAAGAGTCATGCTGCATGTCTGGAATTTCCTCAGACAAAACCGGGCACAGGAAATGATATCAGGTATGGAATCTCCATCTGTGATTGATAGGCTGGGAACCGGGGAGTGAGGGGTGGGGGGAACAGGAGAGAGATATCTGGGCATCTGATGGAGGGCAACCTGCCATCTCAGCAGGAGCGTGACTTCCTTTTATCTTAATCATGCAGGAAAAACTGCATGAGAAAGCAAAAGCAGAACTTTTCTGCAACCCAGAGACAGCACCTGAGCCCACTCCAGCCTGGGGAAAGAGTGTTTGTGTTGCTTTTTTCGTCTCATTTTCTATTGGAAACCGTAGCATATCTCTGCCTGACAGGAGTAGCCTGGGCTCTTCAGAGGGGCCCAGCTCCCACAAACGTTCACCACTGAAATTCCCAGCCTTAAAGAGGAACCGGACTTGGACTGCTCTTGGTGTATGTGTCGGCCAAAGGAAGCAAACCTCGCTGTCCGACGTGTCGGGCTCATCCGAGTCCTGCTTCACAGACTCTGCATCGTCTTCCTCTAGGGGAACAGAAGGGGACGGTTAACTGATCGGCTTTGGCAGTAACAATTCCTAGCCCCTCACAGGCGTTACACAGAACCATAGTCACAGCTCCAGTCACTGATCAGAGCCACCAAAACGACATCAGAATGAACGACATTTCAAAATGAAAAGGCAAGAAATGCTGGCACAACTCAGAGACCAGGGGCCAAGCTCACCAGTACTCGCCGGCTGCCCAGTGCCACACAGCAGTCGTAAGCACTGGCTAGCAGAGCCGTAACTAGGAATTTTTGCACCCGAAGCAAGGGACGGGGCAGCACATCCGGCTGTTCGGCGCCGGGTCCCTCTCGGAGGGAAGGATCTGCCGCCGAATTGCCACCGTTCTTCGGTGGCAATTTGGCGGCAGGTCCGTCCCTCCGAGAGGGACTGAGGGACCCGCTGCTGAATTGCCACCGAAGAGCCGGACGTGCCGTCCCTCTCCCTTGCCGACGACCGGCGGCAATTCGGCGGCGGGTCCTTCCCTCCGAGAGGGACTGAGGGACTTGTCACTAAAGAGCCGGATGTTCTGCCCCTCTCCCTTGCCGACGACCGGCGGCAATTTGGCGGCAGGTCCCTCAGTCCCTCTCGGCGCGGTCGGAGCCAGGGTGCAGGGGGACTCCCTGCCCTGCAGATGTGCCCCGGCTAGCAGGGGGAGGGGGAGGGAGCGGGGGGAGAGAGAGAAGGGGGGGCGGCCAGGGCCTCAGCGGGGCGCTGCCATACGGCCCCTCCTGCCATGCCCCCTGCCGGGAGGGCTCCGCTCCAGTCGGCAGGGAGGGAAGGACGCGGGCTGCCCTGCCGGGCTTGCTGCAGGGTGCTCCCGTCCTCCGCGCCGCTGCCCCCTACAGGGCGGCCAGAGCGGAACAAAAAAAAAAAAGCGGTCATGCCGCCCTAGGATTGGGCGGAATGCCACTTCCTACTAGCTGCCGCCCCAAGCACCAGCTTGCTTGGCTGGGGGGCTGGGGCCGCCCTGCTTGCACC